TAGAGGATTTTAAGCAGGGGAGGAATTTATTTACTTATTTATTTATTATTTATTTGGAGACAGAGTCTCACTCTGTTCCCCAGGCTAGACTGTGGTAGCATCAGCCTAGCTCATAGTAACCTCAAACTCCTGGGCTCAAGTCATCTTTCTGCCTTAGCCTCCTGAATAGCTGGGACTACAGGTGCCTGCCATATGTAACACCTGGCTAATTTTTCTGGTTTTAGTATAGACTGGATCTCGCTGTTGCTCAGGCTGGTCTTCGACTCCTGAACGCAAATGATCCTCCTGCCTTAGCCTCCCAGAGTGTTAGGATAACAGGCGTGAGCTACTGACTTGATTTACATTTTTAAAAAATCACTCCAGTTGCGGGAGGTGGGGAGCACAGTCTAGTGTTCAGGGTGAGAGATGATGGTGTCCTGGACCAGATGATGGAGGTGAAGATGGAGAGAAGCCCCAGGTGTATTTTGGAGGTCTGATTGGCAGGACTTAGAGATGAATAAGATTGTCATGATGATGGGGAGGGAGAGGTCCCAGTCTTTCGGCTGAGCAACCCTAGAGTGAAGACACATTTGCTGGATCTTTCTGTTTCCTGATCTTTCACATTGGATGTCTCCTTTATCCATAATCACTCCCTAGGAGATCTTGTCCAATGCCATGGCTTTAAAGATTATTTATACACTGCTGGCCCCTAACATAACTATTCCTTGAATGCTACAATGACTACCTTACACCTTCATTTGGATGCCCAGTAGGTCCCTCAAACTTCCACATCTCAATACTGAACACTCGAGTTCCCTTCAGCAAACCTGCTCTTGCCCGCTGTTTGTCATCTCGATGAACTGCACTGCTATTTACCTGCTCATTCAGTTGCTCAGGCCAAAGCTTGGCAGTCATCTTTGATTCCTTTCTTTCTTCATATTCCATAGCCAATCCATCTGTGAATCCTGTTTGTTCTACCTTCAAAAATATCCCCAATCCAATCACGTCTCACTATCTCCCT